GTTTTCATCACTCCCAAAAGAAGCTCCATATGTGTAAGCAATCAGTCCTTATTCTCCCTTTTCATGAATCCCTGGCAACCACTAATCTACTTTCTGTCATATATATTTGTCTATTCTAGCCATTTTATATAAATCAGATCATACAATATGTGGTCTTTTTGTCTGACTTCTTTCACATACCATATCTTCAGGGCTGATCTGTGTTGTGCCATCAGCACTTCATTTCTTTTTGTGGCTGAATACCTCTGAAAGGATAATCCACATTTTGTTGATCTGTTCATCACTTGATGGGTTTTTTCCACTTTGTGGCTGTTGTAAATAATGCTACAGTACATATTCATGTGCAAGTTTTATATGAGTTTTCTGTTCTCTCAGACATAAACCTAGAAATGGAATTACCAACTCTTTGATTTACTTGTTGAGGAACTGCTGGTGCTTTCCAGTATAGCTATGTGTTAAATAACATATATGTTATTTAACATATGATCTACTAGGGAGTGGGTATCTATCCTTAATAAATCTATGTAGCTACTACTGGGGCTTCATATGGTTCCAAACGCATGGGATATTAGGAATCCAGCATTCCATCCAGCAAGTACCTCCTGAGTGCCTTCCTGTTGCTCTGTTGTAACTCTGGGAATACATCAGAGTGGGACAGGGGAGGTTCCTGTTGTCATGGATCTTTCAGTCAGGGAAGGAAATGGCCCTTAAATAATCCTCTCTCAACAAAATATATGGTAAAACTGGGATCTGTGCTCTGAAAGAAAAGTGCAGGGAGCTCACTTATCCTAGAGGGTAGTGGTAAAGGACCAGATATCCACAAATCTCCTTTGTGAAAGCTGAGATCTGGAAGATATAACTAGATGAGAGTGGAATAAGGAGTGCCAGCCGTGGAAACACATGTAAAGGATCAGAAGCAGGAAAGACCATGGGCCTCTGACCACTGAGGACATGGGGAGGGTACAGAGGGAGTGACTGACTAGAGGTTAGGATGGGGAGTTGCTGAGTTGCTCATAAAAGGCTTTTTATGGTAGAGGGATTTAAAAAATATTGGCCAAATTGGGCATAAAATCAACAGGACGTTTTTGTTAGCAAAAACTACTCCAAATTTTCAAGGACTTTTTTGCATAATAGCAAGAGTTTTTGGGTTTTCTTTCTTTAAAAGAAATAGATAAGCAGTGAGGTAAAACTGCCCCAGTAATATAACATTAAGTTGCTTAGAAATTATAACTACAATAAAAAACTTATCCAAACTAACAAGTTAAATTAATACTTACAGAATGAAAAGGTGTTTATACAAAAGTTTAATGCATTTTTATGTACTACTAATGATAGAAAGATTAAATAAAAATGTACTATTTATAACAAGAAAAAACCATCAAATATCAAGAAATCTTAAAGACTCATTCACAAAAAGCTAAAAAACATGTCTGAGAAAAATTAATGGAGATATAAATAAATGAAGAGAGATAGCTTGCTCATGATTTGAAAGACTTGAGCACCAAATCAAACTCCAGGAGGCTTTGTGTATGTGTGTTATGTCTTGTTTAAGAATTAAAAATTCAATTCTAAAATGTGTGTGAAAATACAAAGGACTTAGAATAGCCAAATTAATATTGTCAAAGAACAGAGTTGCCACAAACTGACATTAGTCAAGATGATGTATAGTGATATGAAAATACGCAAATCAATTGATGGAATAAATAGAGTCCAAAAATCAGTCCGTCATAGTGCTATTTTGATATAATGGAGAAAGAAGGATCTTTTAAACAGATTCTTAGATATGTTGATTGAAAGCGCAATACAAAAATACATGCATGTGGTATGAGTCCAAGTATAACCATCCCTTACTATCTGTAGGGGATTGGTTCCATACTCCCTTCCCAGGATATCAAAATCCCCAGATACTCAGGTCCTTCATACTAAATAGTATAGCATTTATGTATTGCCTGTGCACACAAATACTTTTTTTTTCCTGGTCCTATTTATTTACTTATTTATTTACCTTCATTTGTTTTTTTCACATGTGCATACATTGTTTGGGTCATTTCTTCTTCCTGCCCCCTTCCCCCATCCTCTCCTCCCTCCCCCCTCGAATACTTTAAAGTATAATATGCTTTATTATACTTTATAATATACTTATTAACTTATAATCTTATAATACCTAATATAATATGATACTGTGTAAACAATTAATGTGTTATATTGGTCAGGGAATAATGACAGGGAAAAAAGTCTGTACCTATTCAGTACAGTTTTTTAAAAAATATTTGCTATCCACAATTGATTGAATCCACAAATATAGAATCTGTGGGCACAGAGAGATGATTGTATGTGGAGTACAAGACTACTCTGTGATAACTAACTTATACTTGTATCTGAGGAATGGAAGAATAGATGCAAAAAAAAAAACCATAAGGGGTCATTCTGTAGTTCTATAGCTTGTTCAGGCTGATTGGTGTTTATAATTCTCAAAATTCGTTGAATAGAACACTTAACATCTGTTCACTTGCTTTAAGTTATACTTCTGTTGGAAAAGAAAACCTCATGAGCATGAACTTCCCTAACTAAGGAAAGTAGGCAGAGTGTAAGATACCAGGAAACCATGAATGTGCTGGTTGACTGGTATGCTTCATAGACAGAGTTGGCCACTGCTCTGTCCCAGCCACATGTCACAGTGTGGAACTGAACCACAAGTTACCTGACCTTCTCAGCTTTCCATATAAGCCTAAATTCTTAATTTTTGCTTGCAATTTTTTTGTTATTTAATACATTAAAATCATTGTACTCATTTGTCATTATTCTTTTTTTCCACAAATAAAAATTGTGTACATTTGTGGTTACAACATGATATTTTGATATAAAGTTAACTGTCTGTGTCTACGGGGTCTGCATCCACAGGTTCAACCAATCTCAGGTAAAAAATACTCAAGAAAAAAAATTGTGTCTGTACTGAATACATTCTGGCATTTTTCCTTGTTATTCTCTAACCAATACAGTATAACAATTGTTTATATAAAATTAACATTTTTAGGTATTACAAAATAGTCTAGAGATATCTTAAAGTATTCAGAAGGATGTGCATAGGTTATATGCAAATTTGCACCATTTTATGCAAAGGACTTAAGCAGCTATAGATTTTGATGTCCATGGTGGGGGGAGGGGTCCTAGAATTGGTACTAGCAGAGGATTGTATGTATTCATTGTGAAATGATTGCATCAATCTGATTAGCATACCCATTACATCACAAGGTTTTTTTTTTGTCAAGAATATTTAAGTCTACCCTCTCAGCAATTTTCAAGTATATCAGGTACCATGCTGTTCAATAGATCCTTGGAACATTTATCCTCTCTGACCTGAAGCCTTATCTCTTGGTTTTAGAAATATTAAACACTGATTTAAATAAAAGAGTTAAGTATTGGAATTGGGAGAATGTTTACTGGTAATTTTTTTTTCTTTTTTTTTTTTTGGTGGTACTGGGGTTTGAACTCAGGGCCTCATGCTTACTAGGCGGATGCTTTACCCCTTGAGGCACTCCACCAGCCCAGAAGAATGTTTACTAATGTGAGAGAATCAGAAGGGAAGTAAATGGCAGTAAAGAACTCTAGATGTTATTGAACATTTTTTCTTATTTAAGCTGATGCAGACTTTTAGCCCAATCATTGTGTCAGTTAATCTTAAATATAGTTGATTTGGCCAGCACTCGGCTGGCTCTTTGTTGAGTACATCTTTATATTGCAGGTACTGGGTTATGTAATCATAGAAGAGAGTATTCTTGTTTTTTCACAACTCATGATAGCAGGTAATTTTGAGGAAGACCCTGCTAGGCTTTGGCCTTTAGCCCTTTCAACTTGAAATTACTTTTTGAATTGATGAAATTGACTCACCAAAATCACTTAAGATATTTATTCTTGCATTTATTTTTCTATGAGCATTTGAGTGTCTCATGTGCCAGGAATACTGCAAGATAGTAAAAATGCAGAAGACACAACCTCTGCATACAGGCAGTTTTCAAACACAAGACTATGTTTAGAATAAATTAATTTATATTGTAATATTGGTTTCAAGATCCGTTGGCATGTACTTTATGTTAAATTTACTATTTAATGTTTTGAGAATTATTATCATTATAACTTTTTTCCCAGAGGGTTAGTCTTTGTTTCTCCTAACATCAAAAGATACTGAATGTAATATATTTGTACCTAGAACTTACTGTTTTGTAAATATTTACTGACTACTTTTTGCCTGTACTGTCCTATTTTCAGGGAATGTAATGTTAAAGCAAATAGTAATTTTGCCCGTGTGAATTTACTGTCTACATAATTTATCAATGGGCCCTTTTTTAAAGTGCTAAGTTCGGTGTTATCTACCTTGTCCTGCTTTTGTTTTATTTTTTAGTGCCTATTGGTATATTCAGTGTTATGTCACAGAAGTATAGTATATGTGTGTGGGGGGGATTGTACTAGTAACTTTACAGTTGTGAAGCAATAAGGAAACTATGAAATACCCTTCTATCATAACTTAGCAATAGCCCTTTCCAGTAAGCCAAACACAGAATTTTTGCACTTTTGCATTATTACAAATCTGATGATGCAGTCTCTTTATGTTGGCTTTGTGTGCTGCAACATTACTAATCTATTACTTCTCTGCTTGTGATTCTTTTTTTTAACATTACCACTGTTGCAGCATCTGAAATATGTTTAAGCTCATCACATCATTTTTATGGCTTTCTCCTCCAGCCCAGCCCAGTAATTTCCTCTCTGCACTGAAGGAAGGGAAGTGCTTGGAAACTCCAGTGAGATGGCTGGCCCTCTGTTAGTGTTATGTCTTTGTATAATTTCACATATACTTGCTATCATAATTCATTTTTAGACCTATAATATTGCTGCTAGCCACTTTATTAAAGCTATTCATGCAAAAATGACCACTTCATCAGAAGTAGTCTTTTCCTAAGTAGCAAAAAAAATGTTCTTAAAAATGTCACTCTTTCTCTTTCCAGTTTTGAGAAACGGTGCTTGGGAAATTGTTCACTGGGAGAAGGTATGCATTGGTTTTACTTTGACTCCAGGAATGCGTAGAGGTGTCTCCAACTGGTGTAATTTTTATGTATAAGAAAATGTCAAGAATTCCGCTAATAAGAGAGCTAATTAGTAATTTAATGTTGTAAACACACATGGAGTCATCACTTAGTCACATCTACTTAGTATTTCTGCACTATTCTAGAAAGACTATTATTTTGAAAAGTAATAGTTAGAACTTTTGGGGTTTTTTCATAGTATATTTTGAGTACTGTTTTCATAGATTTTATTTAACCACAAGCTGTTTGTGTTGTACATTTTGTTTTACCATCTACTGTCCAAGTAAAATAAAAAATCTTAGTTCTGATATTTGACATTTGGATGTTTTACCTCAAAGACCTATACAAAGAATAATCACATTGGCATACTACTAATTCTCACTTTTACAAAAAAATCTTACAAACTAATCATTTTCTAATGAACCAAATATCAGTTCCATAACATCAGAGGTTAATTTGTTCTGAAGTATCTCTAACATGGAAGCTAATTTATCATTTAACAAATGTTATCCAAGTGTTCATTCTTTTTAGACCTCGATTCTAAAAGGTAAGCAAAGTCCTCCCTTAATCCTAGATTTAACCTTTGGTAACCACAGGTGGTTAAATGACTTTGTAATTTGGTAAATGACTTTTGGAGGCCAAGCCAATCTATTGAGAGGCTTTTGTTTCCTGCTATTTGAGGACACTGGAGGTGTGACTCACAGGACACACTGACTGTATGTAACACTTTTCACTCCATTATCACTCAGTTGATTAACATCTATGCATTTGGTCCTGGCTGTGTTCATTGTCACCTGTGTCCCTGCAGTGATAGAATCTGCTCTCAATAAAAAAAATTAATTGCATTTTTGTTGATTTTTAAATCAGTGATTACAATAGAAACTGACATCTCCTCCTCCAGGTAGTTGAAAATTCTCCCTTCTCTCTCTCTGGTCTTTGACATAAGAGTAACAAAGAGGAAAATACCTTAATTATGCTTTATTTCTGTGATTGCCATCTCTGTTTCAGAACAGAGTAAAAATCAAAAAAGCTAAAAGCACTTTCAAAGTAAGTTTCTTTTATGGTCTTGTCAGGTACTTGTGAATTTAACCATTTTAGAGAGAAGACAGGTAGGATATAATCAAGTATGAGAAATTGAATTTTGCTATATTTTCATCAGTAGGGTTATTAGTGTAGGAAACATAAATGCACATTCTAGCAAATTAATATGTAAACTATTTTGTGACAAGTGAAACTTAGTTTTACATGCTGTGGCAACAGAGATAATCATTATACTACGCACTCAACAAATATTTGAGTGTTTGTGCCAAGCAGTAGCAGAAAGCAAGACATATAGGGGTTTCTTTTTGTGCCATAAAATATAATCATACCATACATCCTGAGATGCCAGCCATGTTAAAAAAAAATGTGGAGAAGCACAAAAGTGTGCTTATTTGTCAGGTTAACCAGATTATTGGGAAAGTCTTTTCCTTGGTTGTATAATTTTTTGCAGATAAAAATAAAATTAACTGGATGTGGTGTCACATTCCCATAAATGCCAACACTTAGGAGGCTGAAATAGATTGTATGTTCAAAGCCATCCTGAGCTACATAGCAAGATCCTGTGTCAAAAAACCTCAAAATCAATTAATTAAAGAAAATCAGTAAACTAAAACCAAAAATATCATCCACATGCCAAGACAGCATGGCAAATCAAGTGCAGTTTATTCAGAGTACTTTCTTTGCCACTCTAGATGTGTGGCTACTGTGATTCCTCAAAGGACCTACAAATTTTCAGTGTTCGTCTATCATTCACACATGGGACTTCAGCTTTCAAATGTCAGTAGTTCATTCTTCAACTTAATGCCTTGAAGCTTTCTCCCTGTTACAGTAGGTTCAATTTCAAGTATCTAGTTAAAAAAGGAAGCACCATGATAAAAAAGCCCCACACAGGAACATTATCTCTGCTCTTGAAATTTAAGCAGTTGGTTTCATTGTCCTCCCACAAAGACCAGACCTTCACATTGAGATTGCAGCTGACAGCATTCACAGATTTTTGAAATATGTGCAGGTGGGAAATTTAGTTGAATAATCTTGAAATCAATACATTCTTCTGGTTTAGTGTGGGGAGCATGGCATATGAGCTAGATGCATACATAAAAGTCACTGCATTAAGCTGCTATAATACTTGAAGTTTCTACTATGACATATATTTTTTGGATGATGACTGTATCTCACAAAATATCCCTTAATAAAATGCTGCTACCTAGAATTGGACATAGCTTGATTTTTAAATCAGTCAGTTACAGCTTGATAGTCTTATCCTTTTTCATAATCCTCAGTCATAGCCGATAATATAAGAGGCTTGAGAAATTTTAAGGTAGTGGAATGAAAGTTCTAAGTATTTTCTTACACTTGGTGTTTTGGGGACTAGAAACTGTTTCGTCATGTTGTTCCTCCAGGTGGCATATTGTGTAAAGCATTTTTCCCTTCTTAGTCCCTCTTATGCTAGAAATGAGAATGCCACATTAGGAACTCAGAACCCAAAAGGAAATTGCTTAGATATCATTGAGAAATTGATCTAAAACATAGGCAAGTAAGTTCTCTCCCTTCCTCAAGTACTGTGAGATCTACCTTAGTATTTAGTAAGTTTTTGGTTTTTCCAGGCCACTGGAGTAACTACAAATTACATATAGAATGCTAATAGTTATTTTTAGTTTAATAACTGCAGTCTTCCTTTTGCCTTACAATGAATGATGTTGGGAAGCAATAGTTAGGGACTTTTGTTAAGTCAAACTGTTTGATATAGATGGCTTAACACTGATGTAGACAGATGTAGTCCTAATTTTCTGAAACATATACTTTATTGGAGAAGTATTAACACAAGGGAAGCAATTAAATGGTAACCTAGGTTACCATTTCCTTGCCATGAGTGCAAGGAATTTATATTTTATAATCGTACTGTCAGAGCACATTAAGGACTGGTTTCTGTTTATACTGGATAGGGTATTTGATTCCAGGGTCTTGGGTAATTTGTCAATTTTAGATAGCTCGAATCTCATATTTCAGCTAAAATAAATCTTTTTTGAATCAAGGTACCCAGTGTTTCCCTATCTGGGTAACCAGCATACAGTTCATAGATTAGAAGATACTCCTCCTACAACTTTCCCTAGCCCGTTCCTTCCAGGATATAAAGTAGAGCAGAATGGTCCCCTCTGCAATAATTTCTCACTATGGTTCTCACTAAGGGTACTATTCTTTCCTTTCCTCCCAATAAGGTTTTATTTTAGAATTCAGGGGAAAGTAGGGAGTGAGGAGAACAAAAAAGCTTTAACAAAAAAAGGATTTCCTTTCCTCTTCTAAATGTAGAAACTTACTTTCAGGTGCTGCAGGAGAGGCCAGCAATCATAGTGCAGTGGGAGTGACTCAGTGTGACTTGGTCACCTGAGTTGTGTCCAACTGTTACTTACTTGGAGTTGTATTGCTTGCCAAAAGCTGTAAAACATACTGCACACTCAAATTACTTTTAAAGGTTTCTACCATAGTGCATCATTAGTTTGTCTTCATGCCATATTCAGAAAAATGCTAACTGGTAGTAAAACAAAGAGATGAAGCTGTTTGTTGTTATTTGAATTGCAGCAGTCAGTTCAGTTAATTTACTTATGCAAAAACCAAGCTTCGTGTCAATATGAGTCTAAACTTTCCATTCACTGATCCCGAGCAAATAACTTAGAATCATTTTCTTCCTCTCTAAATTACAAGTAATAACTAATACTTGCTTCATAAGGGTCATTGTGAAAAAATTATGATCATATATGTGACAGTTGCTCTAGTTGTGCTAAGATTTCCTTAAATAGGGTAAAATTTTCAATTGAATTCCTCCTTTTTATTCTTACGTCAAAGAAAGAGAGTATGAGAACTTGAGATATCAATAAGCAGGTAAAATGAACCAATAGATTTTATTAAGGTACTCAGCTGGTCACACAGAGATACATTATTCATTTTTTAGAAGGCCTCATGCCTAGATAATTTTATGCCATTTTGTGAAGTGGTTCTTGTTTGCCAATAGCCATTTTTCCTAAATTTTGTGCTTTAATACAATGGGTTGTATATTTGTAACTATCTTTCCATGCAGATGATTAACCGATTCCCAGTTTTCTTTCAGGTAAATGTTGGAGATATAGTTATAATAAAAGGCAAAGAGTATATACCTGCTGACACTGTACTTCTCTCATCAAGGTAGAGATACCTACTGATGCTCAAACAGTGTAGAGGACGGTTTCTCTACCCTGCATTGACATTGTGATTTCTCCAAGGAAATAAGGAATAAACGAAGAATTTTAAACCTCTCTAATGTTGTTCAAGCATTTAAAAAATTGATTGGAATTAAAAAGATCTTTCATTATTGCCATATAGAAAAAGTAATAGGTACTATCTAATTGAAAATTAAGAATCTGCTCTTCCTCTGGATGTGTCCAGATCTATGTGTGTGGACCACTAACTCTGTTTAAGATTTCCTACATGTAGTTTATATCCATGGATTGGGTTCTTTCAATTTTATCTTTCAATCCTCATGGGTTCTTTTGATTTTATCCTTCAATCCTTGTTCATCATAAATTATTTTATGATGCAATCAGACATCTCTGTAAAGTTTCCTGATCCTTGTGGTGAAATGGTAACAACAAAATGGATGAGTGATTTTTTTTTTAATAAGTCCTTTTGAAATGCTATATTCTTCTAATAAACAATAAGTACTTTCCACTTTCTTTTAAGTTCTTTCTGATACTGCATTTAGATAAATTTTGTTCTATCCATATTTAAGATAGTGTTAAGTTAGTATTTAGGACATATGGCACAGTTACCTTTAAAAAATGTGATTTCCAAATGGTTTTAGGTTTAAAAACTGTAAAACTAGCCCTACTATAAATTAAGAAAAAATGTTTCTGATATTTTAGAGGTTGTTTATCATCATTTCCTTGGACAGTTTTATTTGTAAAATCCACATATAAATATGGACAGTGTCCTTTTTCCAAAACCTATTTAATCAGGTCATGATTTAAAGTGATTGGATTTTTTGACAAATTAGTGAAATTTAATTACACAAATAAGAGTTGTCTTATTTCTTTTTTGATGGTCCTGATGTTTGAAGAAAGTTATTTATAGAAATAAGTCTGCAGGAAGTTGAAATAACTATATATTTCCGTATTTTTTTAATTGGCACCTTTTTGTGCTATATACAGAAGTTTTTTTCAAAATAAATTCTATGGATTCTTTAAATCAGTCATTCTTGTCTTAATTTTCTTTGCTGATATCTTTGTCAGCATCCATTTAAAGCTTACTGGCTACACTTGGCTGTGTGAGAGCAAGTTCAAGGGTGAGCTTATTGCCATTGTCTCAGCTCTGGGTAGTGTCAGGTATTAGAGAGAACTCTGCTTAGAAATCAGAAAACCAGGATTCTTATTCTGGCTTGGTGATTTTGAACAAACTCAGGCCTTAATTTCACATCTTTTCTGTTGAGAAATATGGACTAAATGAAATGATTAAACCCTAATATTCCCCAATTATTCTTTCTAAAATGTAACAGACTGAGAAATCTGAAACTTGTCTGATCCTAGGCATATCAGGTTAAAGATCCTTAGCGTATATTTTTAAGCTTTGGAGTAATTTTTACAAGATTTGTTTTCTCAACATTAAAGCCATTTCCTAGTGGCTATCGATATTGGTAAATCAAGTATATCTTAATATATAAACTATGTCCTATAATTATCTGTAGCACAGTGATTAGCTTCCTCCAAAGACTATTATATTTTAAAAAGATTATATAATTCATTGGTTTTGGTTCTTTAGTGAATTCAACGTGTAGTGTAAAGATTGTTCTGTTTGGCAAACATTTCTACCAAAGTAACAATACTTCCTTTCAGCTGGTTTGTTTTCCTTGAGGGAGTTTTGCATTACTTAGCTCTTTAGAATCTGTATTAATCTTAAGGATTATGTTGTGTTTTATCATCATTTAGCAGAAAGAGAAATTTTGAGATTGATTTCTATTTTTCCTCCTCACTTTAGATAATAACAAATTGTCTTCATTATGCCACACTGTCCACTGTCAAAATAAGTACCTGGTGATTGTCACCTGCAAGTAGACACCATTTAACAATAAGGATAACCACTTTATTATACTTACTTTCTAAAACTTTTCAGCTACTAATTATTAATAGTGCAACTTCTGCAAGGTAGCTTGAAAGTAAAGTATGAATGTACAAGTTTCTGTGTTTGATTGACTTTCACTTTGAAATGAAGACATTGAAATTGTAGCATTTAACAACTAATACACTTTTGTGTTAAGAAAGTACAAAATAGAATAAAATAGCTCAAGGTATTGATTCAAGTCTAGACAGACTTAACTCCAAAGGCTGCAATTATGCCTTCACACTTCCAAAGACCCCTATCTTTGCATCTTTTCATTAAAGTTAATACACACTTAATAACTTTGAAAATGTTTTGGTTTCAGAACTTTTTTTTTTAGTATGTGGGAGGTGGGGAGCTAGGGTAATATACTTTATACTTTGTTTTTAAATTCTTATAAATGTAACTTCCATAATTATTTCTTTGCTTCTGGGGTAGGAGTGGACATCTGTAGATGGCAGGTTGAAAATTTAGAGAAAGGAAAATCTGTAAGATAAAGTTGTTCTTTATATAAAACATTTTTATTTAAAAGTTGAAACTTTTTGCATTAGAAATTGAAAATTGGGTTTAAAAGCAAGTAAGTAATCTTTAAATGTTTTCTTATACATTCAGACCTGATTAAAATAAGTTTTGAAAAAATCGGCATTAGACATTTTTATTAACATGTATTATTTTCTATAATAATGTCAAACCTTCTGTCTCTCTTGTCCATTTGTTTGTTTTTTTCTCTGTTATTCATTTTTTCCCATTTTAATTATTTTAAACTGGGACATGTAGGTGGCAGTAGGGGAAATAGTGAAAGTGACCAATGGGGAGCATCTCCCAGCAGATCTCATCAGTCTGTCCTCAAGGTTAGAATCACTGAGTTGTACAGGACATGTGTATGTGGGTCCTCACCCTAAACCAGACAACTGTTGCACCCAAATATGGTTGAGTTCTCTCTCTCTCTTCCTTAAAGCACAAACATTTTTATATTTCTTGGTGATGGACATTTCACAAATGTTTTAAAAGCATTTTATGAATATTATGCTGGATGATGTTTGTCCCTCAACTGGGCAGATTCAATTCCTGTTGTTATCAATAGGAGTCCAGGAGGCATGCCAGTAAAGGTAGATTTTAATTTCCTATGCATCATTAATATATATTCATATTTACCAACATGCCTCAATACAGGCTTAACTTACTACTTCTCCAGGATACTGTGCTTAACAGTGTAAAGTTTTTCATGAAACAGTCATTGAAAATTGATTACATTTTAAGCCTATTTTCTTAATCTTGTATTTTAAATTTTCTATAAGTTTTATAGAATCCTTGTAGTTATTATGACTATAATTTGGGCTTGGATAGGGTTTACAGAGGACCCCCTGCACAAAGCTGGCTGTTGTACGTTGTTGTACTGCATGCTTTGGGATCAATTTTTATCCCACTTGTAACTCGTGACCAAGTGCACGCTACTTGGTAAATTTCAGTGTCTACTAGTGTCTGTATTGTGATATGCATCTTGTTTCATTTTTCCACTTACTAATCAGAAAGCCTGCTTTGCCTCTCTGACTGTAGTTTGTGTTTTGGATGTCATCATACTTGGCTTAAATATGTATGATCTAGCATGATTCCTTACCTCTTGCTGCCTTTTCACAGTACTGTTAAGAACTGTTTCAGTCACAGCTGTCTAAAGTGGTTATTAAGAATGTTCTGAATTTGAATGCATTTTTTATTTGCCCCACCTCAAAGAAGTCTGCCCTTTAAAGTCCCAGACAAGTTCTTTTGTGGGGGGGGGGGGAGAAAGAAGTAGAATTAGAATGTTACTCTGATCTTAATATATGACTTTAGATTAATAATATATAGATAAATAGATTTATCAGTAAGATTTTAATGCATTTTACTGCCAGAATATGGAATCAACACTGTCACTTACATTTCATTTTTTATCATGCTTCTATATTATCAGAAAGCTGTGTCTGATAATTTCATAAATAATTTGTTTCAAATAGTAAGGATATTATAAATTTGGACAGTTGCCAGAGCAAAAATTAACTATTTTGATAAAGATTTAATATAAAAAGGTTTTGAAAAAGGTTTTGAATAGAGTGAGAATTTGAATGCATTTTTTTTTGCCCCACCTCAAAGAAGTCTGCCCTTTAAAGTCCCAGACAAGTTCTTTTGTGGGGGGGGGGAGAAAGAAGTAGAATTAGAATGTTACTCTGATCTTAATATATGACTTTAGATTAATAATATATAGATAAATAGATTTATCAGTAAGATTTTAATGCATTTTACTGCCAGAATATGGAATCAACACTGTCACTTACATTTCATTTTTTATCATGCTTCTATATTATCAGAAAGCTGTGTCTGATAATTTCATAAATAATTTGTTTCAAATAGTAAGGATATTATAAATTTGGAACAGTTGCCAGAGCAAAAATTACTATTTTGATAAAGATTTAAATATAAAAGGTTTTGAAAAAGGTTTTGAATAGAGTGAATGTATATAAGTATTGGAAAACTGCAGTTGGGAAAAAGTAGCAACCTTTATGAAAGAAAGCTCATAAAGCAAATGGGAGAACTTGCGAAGTTATTTTAAAATGAATCTCTAAAATATTTGATTAATGTCCATGTCTTTAACTAATTTCCACAAATCTCGGGGCCACGAAATTAAGCTACATGCCCATTTCAGAAACTCAAAATAGTATATTTTGCACATGTACAAATTGAAGTTGATTAGAAAATTCCAAATGTTTCTGACTTGTAAATTTCTTTCATCCTAGCTCTGACACAGTACACATACTTACCAGGAATTATATTCATAGTTATTTATGTGATGTTAGTAAGTTAGGTTTATTATATATCCAAGTGCTAATGAGATCGTTTTAACCTCAGATTGCATTTCCATAACATTGAGGATCATATTATATAGTTGTGTCACAAGCTGACATCTGTACTTGCTGGGCAAATAAGGTCAGCATGAGAAGGAAAGAGATATATGACAGTCTAGAGTGACAGGTCTGTGGTGAACCTGGAGAACATGGACCCTCTTGTCACTGCACACCAGATTTCATGAAACATTCCTCTGAGGCTTCATGATGTAGATCTTCCAGGTACAAGGCAAAGAGTAATATGGACAAGTGGGCTGATTTTAATTTTTGTTTTTCCTGTCTCAGGAATCTCTCAAGCAATTTTTAGAGGTAGGAGAATAGGAACCAGAAAAGAAAATTGATGGAGAAAAGTATAAATCTACTTTCATTGTAAGATCTATTCCTGTAGCTCTTAAAAATAGCCTTAAAAATTTAATATTATGTGGTCCATATGGTCCTTTCACCATAGCTAAAAGGGTGGGGTAGTAAATGCAAATTCGTAGAAGTAGCCATCTGGAATTTTCTAATCAACCACTTTGCATAACCAATTTATGTGTGGGCCAAAAGCATGAAATCTCACTTGATGTTTCTGAGCTAGAGATAAATCTGGACACAAAACTGCTTTATATTTCAGATATAGACTGTGTTGTGTCTATATGGATGAACAATTTAAAAATAATGTGACAAATCCACTCATTACATTATCTCAAAGACCATTACCAAGTGTTGTCAGAAATTGCTTTTGGGTCCTTCTGGCTGGAAAGCTGATCTGTGAGTTGTCATGCATGGGTTCTGCCTCACAGCATCTTGCTGTTAGAATGAAAATCATCAAGAAGCTAGGTGATTATAACTTTGTCTAGAACAAAAGCCTTCATGAATGAGCATTTAAATAAGTTGTTGTTGTTGTTCTGCTTTCCTTCCCCCACTAAATCTTGGTGCTTCTCAATTCTAAACAACAGTGAGCCCCAGGCCATGTGCTACATTGAGACATCCAACTTAGATGGTGAAACTAACTTGAAGATTAGACAGGTGAGTTTAGTATAAGTTCACACAATCATTGCTGTTTTATTACATGCAATTAAAGCTTTGTTATTAGTTTTATTCTGAGCTGAAGTAATTCTGTTCAGTTGCAGTTTTCTCACTGAACCGCTATGAAGACATTTCATAAATTGGTATAAATTTAGAAATCAAGTTTACTTGCCTGGTCAAAAATGGTCTACCATATAAAGACAATTTGTAATACTTTGACATGTGTTAGCTTATTTTTGCTATTCACCTGGCCCAGGTTATTATTTGACCTAGTCATATTGAAAAGCTGTTATTTCTATTTCTATTTTAAAACTCTCATGCACCTTGGGGATTTAGATTAGTTTAGATTTCTATAGTTACTTTTCATACCATCCTTAAGATCTTTATTTTTAAAGTCTTAAAAAGGGAGTTTTTATAACATTCATACATATATTTTATAGGTGAATGATAAGAATGGCGTGTGAGAGACATTTAGGATGTGGTAGAACGAGATCATCACGAGGGATCTGGACTCAGACCACCCCAGAAAGAGGGCTGTGCTTAGTGGCAGCCATGTCTAGCTAGCCAGAAGGAAAACCTGTTTTGACTTTTTCCTTCTCAGGGAATAGTTGGGAGGGCAGACAAAACTACTGTCATTGAAAACAGACTCTCCCCATGTTTCATCGCTTTTTCAGATTCAGGAGACAGAGACTCTGTATACTGAATATTAACTTTATTTTTGGAAACAGATGGCTCTTCAGGAACTTACTTCAAAATATCTTTGCAGACTAATTTTTACCTTCTGTAGAACTGTCGCAAAAACTGTCCCACTTGGCTAAAATGAGAAGGAAGATATCCCTAAATTATGACTTGAAAGGGTGCTGCATAAAGACAGAAAATTGCTTATAAAATAGTGGTTTCCTTCAGATCCTAAGACCTGGATGAGTCCCCTGCCCTGACTCAATGTACTTTAATATACTCTTTTCTCATTTAAAATTTTTTAAATAGGGCTTACCAGCAACCTCAGATATCAAAGACATTGACAGTTTGGTGAGAATTTCTGGCAAAATTGAATGTGAAAGTCCAAACAGACATCTCTATGATTTCGTTGGAAATATAAGGCTTGATGGACATGGGTATGTAAATTGTGTTCACCACGTCACCAGTATTTGCTGAATGTCTTCTAAGCCTGGGTACACATTATTTTTCTGTTCTAAGTTTGAATTCTCAAAACTCTTGTTTTAAGCATGTCTATATTCCAACCCAAGTCTTTTTGTAAAAACACTGAATTTTAACTCCATGCATGTGGTATAACTAAAGACTTTCTCAAGGTTCCTGCCAGTCTAGCAATTGAATGTTTCTAGAGGGGCCCTCCAGACTTTTGGCACATTGTTTAGTTTGTAAATAACCTGTGGTTTATTCTTTGACAGCAATACTTGTGATAGGGTTAACTATCCAATTCTGGCCTGGTCCACGGTGTTGAGGATCTACCCTCAAGGCATTCATTGTACTGGATAATTTCTTGTGTTCTTCTGTGGGTAATTCCATACTCTTTCCTAGGCCATGTTATCATCTATCATCTTCTGTTACTGCTTCCTTTCTTTCTCTCCTCTTTCCTCCCATTTTCTTACCTCTTCCCTCATTCATTGACTCGGAATTTATTATGTGCCTAGAAGACTGGAGGTGTGACTCAAGGGATAGAGCTCTTGCCTATCAAACAAGGGGCCCTGAGTTCAAATCTCAGTACTGCCAAGAATTTATTATGAGCTTAATAGGCCAGGCAATTTACACATATTGAGAAGACAACAGTGAACAAAGAAGATAAATATTACTACCTTTGTATCTTCATTCAGTCCAGCTGCTATAACAAAATACCTTAGGTTGGAAAAGTTTATAAACAACATAAATTCATTTCTCACAATCCTAGCAGCTGAGAAGTTCAAGATCAAGGCACCAACTGATTGGGCATCTGATGGAACCTGCTCCTTACAGAAGGAGTCTGCTCTGTGTTCTTTCATGGCGGAGGCCCTCAGGACTCCTTTATAAGGGCATAAATCCCATTCATGAGGTAGAGTTTCCATGACCTTATCACCATAAAAAAAAAAAAACCTCCTTTTACTGAGGATTAGGTTTCAATTTATAAATACAAGGAGTACACAAACATTCTAAACCATAGCATCTTGTATACTTACTTTCTTGTAGTAAGGGAAGGGCAAAAGACAAACAATAAAATGATAAATGAAAATTTTAGACCCTATATGAGAAAGCAGTAAATGCTGTGGGCTGTGGAAAAGATAGCATAGGAGAAATGAGGCGCCCTTGGGAGGGAATCAGTTAGGGTAGTTAAAGTCAACCTCATTCACAAGATGACATTTGGGTAATGACAGGTAGGAGGTGAGGAGCTTAACCTTTTGAATATCTTCCAGACAGAAGAAATAGTGCAAATTTTTATATATATAGTTACATGATCTTAAAGTAGACAATGCCTGGAGTGATTGTGGAATGTTAGGTCATTGTGTTTAGAGTGACATGATTATTAGAGTAATAGAAGAAAGGCCAGTAGAAAGTAGTGGGCCAGATCACATAAGGCTTTGTAGGTAATTGTGAAGGTGTATTCTGAGTAAATGGGGATCCATTGGAAGGTGATGATGAAGGCAAATCAGCAGTTCAGTTTTGGAGTTATTAAGTTTATGGTTTCCAAGAGGCAGTTGAGTATATGTCTGAAGTTTGGGAGAAAAGTCTTGGACTAGATAAAAGTAGGGAGTTGTTGGCATACTTAAATCCATGGGGCTAGAAGAAACCAGTGAGAGTGAAAGGAAATTGACAGAAAAATTTAAAGGCCCAAGGACTGTCCTAAGACTGTCCAACATTAAGAGAGTGAGAAAAGAGGAGGGACTAATAAAAGAGTCTGTGTCCAAGTTCATAGGATAGAAACCAAAAGAGAGTGAAGAAACTACCGAAGTAGAGAGGTAGGAACTAAAATGGGTCAGATGTTGCTGATGATCAAGTACAATGAAGCTGAACATTAACCGGGTTTAACAAGTGAAGAGCATGGAGTTTGGTTAGATCAGGTGGACCCTAATGAGAGTGAGTCTGAGATCATGGAAGGAGTGGTGTCAAAAATAATAGGCATAGACTTCTTTTTCAAGGAGTTTTGTTGCAAAGGGGAGCAAAGAAATAGGGCAGAACCTGGCAAGAAGGATAGGATCTTTTCTGCCTCCATTCTATTTTCTCTACTTCTCCCCTCCCTTCATTCCCTGTATCCTCTATAGTGTATTTTATCCGACAGACATTTATAGTGACCAAGTAAATGTCATCTAGATGTAGAAGTTCACCCAGCCTGGGAGAATGTTGCCATTGCTTTCATTATTTTGTAATTGCATTGTTGGAGTTTTTGAATTCCAAAGAACATTTGAATTATACCCTGATCATTCCTCAGATCCACCAAATTTTTCCTGTAGTTTTTGAAGTAATTGTTGTTCACAATTTTTCAGAGTGATCTTTCTTTGAACATACGGTTATAGACTAATGATAGATTTGGCCATTTATACAAGTAATGTTTCTTTAGTCTGACATTACTAACTGGCCAGCTTCCATTTCTTAACAGTTCTCCAATAAATTGATGCCAGGCAAATCCATGCTGTAAAGTGGTGCCAAGATTTAGGGTGCGGATAGAATTTATATAAAAACACTTTATTTTATATGAAAGGTGGGAATAGATTTTCAAGACCTTTCCATCTGTAGCACATTTGAGATTTGACAGTGATCATCCAGAGTACTTGGAAACTGTTTGGAGTGAGTATACTTTGGAGTCTTAAGATGAGAATCATGGCCTAATTCCAGAAACTTTCTAATTCCAGCTCTGAGGAAAACTAGTAACAACCAAGTTTTCTTGAGCCCTTATAATTAAAAAGTGGTGTGTTTTCCTTTTGAAGGGTTTCCTTTTTCAAGGGTTTGTACCTATTTGCAGGCAATCCATACCACAAATGTTGAATGACAGTTGACGTGTTATACTTCATTGGGTGGTTAAGGAACAGTGGGCACACATGTGTCTTAGAGCATAGTCCAGCAATTTCTCAAGAACTTCATGGCTTGGCATATGACTCAAGTGTAGAGTACCTGCCTGGCAAGTACAAGGACCTGAGTTCCATACCCAATACTGCCAAAAAAAAAAAGTCTTGATCAAGAACATCATGGAAACTTTCTTTAATCCCAAGGCCCCTCCCAACTCTGAAGTACACCCCCAAATCTTGAGACATATACAAGATGGTTTTTCTATGGCTTAGATACGATTTGTCCCTATAAAGGCTCATGTGTTAGAGACTCAGTCCCCAATGTGCCAATATTGAGAGGTGTGGCATCTTTAAGAGGTGGGGCTAAGTCATGAGGTGCCACCTTCTGAAAGGATTAAGGCCTATCTCATTGGAGTGAGGTCTTATGGGACTAGATTAGTTACAGCAGGTTTGTTATAAAGTTCCACACACTGCTCTTGTTACTTGCCGCATGTATTTCTTCCATGTTACCACATATCACAAAACCCTTGCTATATGTGGCTGCCTATGTTTGAACTTTGCAGCCCCCAAAACTGTGATCCAAAATAAACCCATTTTTTTTCTTATAAAATGGGTATTTTTCTGTAGTCAAGATAGGCTGCCATTCAGATGGGTCTGGAGACAGGCATGCTTTTTGGGCATTAAGAATGAGTTTTAGCTTCTTTGTCCTTTCTGTAAATAGAAATGCATTATTTCCTAATGATTAACTCAAGTACCATTCTAACCACCTATCTATATTGGTTTCACCTGAGCCAGTGGACGTTTTGTCCAAAGCTCATGTAACCATTGGCCTCTGAACTCTACTGGACCACAGAAGCCCACTAGAAAAAGAGACCTTAGCCTCATTGACCTTCCCTAAGAAAGAAATTCTACATTCTCTGTAGACTTTTCTTGGGAAATTGTTTCCTTTATTCTAGAAGTTTTTAAGTGTACTTTTTGTTATTGGTAATGAGAATCCCTGAGCCTTTATATTTTGTATATTATATTTCCATTCACCCAATATATCTTTCACGGAGTTGTGCCCTTCTTATATCCCTGAGTGAGTTTGTAACATCCAGTAATGGTCCACAGAGGGTAGCCATACAGAAAACCCACAAAGAATCCAGCTTGAGTCTTATTCATAAATAATGTGATTAAAGTATGGGATATGAATGCTTACCATTTGTTGGAAATGTATTTGTAAATCTTGGAAAGCTAATCTCCAAATCTTACAAATTGAATGTCATAGAGGTTTTAGGTACAAGAACTTATCTCTGGGGGCAGTGCAAGCCTATGTTGAGATGTGTGTGCTGATCTTGCTTGTGTATTTTTTTTGTGTCTGGCAAAAGATGTCATCTCTATGTATCTTCACATGACAGAAAGAAATCTCTCTGATCTCTTCTTATAAGAACACTAATCCCATCATGAGGGCCTCATCCTCATGCTCTCTTCTAGTTGCCTCCCAAAGGTGCCATCTCCAAATAGCCACACATTGGGGGTTACAGCTTCAGCATATGAATATTGGAGGGGGAATACATTCAGTTCATAGGAGATAATGAAGTTATAGGAAATGGCCAGTGAGGTATTAAATAGCAACTTAAACCCTTTCCAACTGTTGTTCCACTTTAAGAAAATTATTTTTTGGTGGAGAAATTACTTCCTTTCCCAAAATAAATGCAAGAAGGGTTGTTTTAACAATAGAGCCTTTTAGAACTGTATAATGAATGTATAGTTCTTGAACATTTTAGAAAATGTCATTTCTAAATAACAACATCATCTGTTCTAGCACTGTTCCCTTGGGAGCAGATCAGATTCTTCTTCGAGGTGCTCAGTTGAGAAATACTCAGTGGGTTCATGGAATAGTTGTCTACACTGGACATGACACCAAGCTGATGCAGGTGGGATTTTTATCTATGACATCTTTTGGACCTAAGACTTTTGTAAATGTGTATTGTTCATAGCTCTCAGTACAGTAGTCCCAAACAGAGTAGACCATCTGTCACAGATTATTGAGCCCCACTCCATACATCTAGAATCTGGTACTTCAGTGGGTAAGGCCTTGAAATTCCCTCTGGAGGAGAAAGGCTCACTGCACACAGGAAGGGTACAAAGTTTCACCATAGACCACTCAGTGCCTGAACTCTCTGGCTTTGTGTGTTGACTCATTGGCAGCATTTTCTATCAGTAATCACTTCAAATAGTCTATGTAATAATGAGTGCTCTGCATTAAAACATATGTTTTATAATTTTATTTTAATGGAGTGATCAAATTTTAAAATCTATTTTCTTTTTCTCCATAAATTTAAAGAAAAGTATCAAATAGCCATTTTCATAGCATTCATAGGAAAGGCTATTTTTGCCATCAGCTTTCATCCTAACACTAATGTTCACACATGCTTGAGGCTAGTACTTCTCTACCTTATGATACATCTGTGTTCAGTAGTTCAAAGGCTGTGGGAAACACACTTTTAAATACTAAATAAATATCTACTCTAAAGACTAACACATTTGTACCTTGTATAGGCGTGAAGATGTTACCAACAAACAAGAAGGACTGTTGTTAATGCTTCTATTCTTAGAGCTTCTATAAATTCTGGAAATCTTCATTTTTATATTGATTATGACAGATTTAATTTTCTGTCCTGTAAATGCCTTGGTTAGCACAGATGTAACATAAATGTTTGAATCATCAAATATAACTGAGGATACTTCCCTTTGTTTTGGTTTGGTTTTGGTTTTTGGTGTTTGTTTGTTTGATTGATTAATTGAGACAGGGTCTCAGTATATAGCCCAAGCTTTGTAGCCATCTCACAATCCTCTTGCCTCAGTCTGCTGAGCATGCACCACCATGCCGAACGAATCCCTCTGTTATTCTTTGTAGCCAGACTACTTGAATTGCTGCTGTGTTCGGTGAAACAGTTGTTAAATGCCACTCGAAATTTGAAAATCACAGATTCCCTTACATGTTGCCTCAGACTTTGGATTTTCTAAGAGTCTAGGTGTGGGAACGTAGTCCTTTTTCTCTGCCTCTTTTCCAAGCAAAGACACTAACTAGGTGGCTCTCCATGTCCTTATTGACTTAAGTAACCATCTTCATTTTACCTGCCACAATGTCAGCAAAAAGAATTTTAGTTCCTCCTTTTCTTTTTTCTTACTGTTTTACATCCCAGGAAAAGGTTTGGACAACATAGTGTCCTTGGGAAAAAAAGATGGTCATCCATTGACACCTTATTACACTTGTCATGGGTTTTGCATAATTGTCATGTGTCACCTATGTCTGGATATTGAATAGTGATTTTGTCATTCTCATCAAATACTTACTACACAATATTAAATTGTTTGTGCGCATTTACTACTACTCATCTTGTTTCTTTTTACAGAATTCAACAAGTCCACCACTTAAGCTTTCCAATGTGGAACGGATTACAAATGTACAAATTTTGATTTTATTTTGTATCTTAATTGCCATGTCTCTGGTCTGTTCTGTGGGTGCAGCCATTTGGAACCGAAGGCATTCTGGAAAAGACTGGTATCTCAATCTCAACTGTAAGCAATAAAGAACTGACTGCATTTGTTTTTTCTTTCATTAAAACTTATATTTGTGGCCTAGGGGTGTGGCTCAAGTAGTAAGTAGAGTGCTGGTCTAAAAAGTTCAAACCACAGTACTTCCATTAAAAAAAAAAGGAAAAAAAAAAAAAAGAAAGTGTGTATTTGTTTCACAATTGATCTTAATTTGTTTTGTGGAATTTCTTATTGTTTCTAAAAAGACTTTGTTCTAAGATAATTGAACATTTCATCTTTATTTTTCAATGAGAATTCCAGTAAAAGTAAGTAAAATTTTAGGAGCTCTAAATTTTGAAATCCTTAAAAATATACTGAGCATTAAATAGTAATATAAGATGTTCAGTATGTATAGCTGTTAGCATGTTATATATAAATAAAAAACATTATTTAAGAGTATCTTTTAAATATTTTTAAGTAAGGTTTTTAAATATCTTTAAGTATCTGGTAAAGAAAGTAGATTGTTCATGTATGGAGAATTGTGTGTGTGTGTGTGTGTGTGTGTGTGTGTGTGTGTGTGTGTGTACAAATTACCAAACAGTAGTTAACATGCTTTTATAATGTTTGAACTAAGGGGGCTGGTGGAGTGGCTCAAGCAGTAAGAGCACCTGCCTAGCATGGGGCCCTGAGTTCAAACCCCAGTGCTACCAAAAACAAAATAACACAACAAAAACAAAATTTTAGATATACTTTCATTTGAACTCAGTAGCAGAGAGTCCTGTATGCGTGCTCATCTTCTTGCCCCAGGGAAAGTGCAATTAAACAGTTTCCCTTTGGAGCATGTATCTTTCTGCTATTGTAACATGAATGTACCACCTATAAGTATTTCTAGGAAGTGACTTTGCATTTCCATTTGAGGAGTACTTAGCCAATAAATACTTAATTTCTGAGAATGTGAAAGCAAACTCCAGTAAAATTCTACAGCAAAAGCTGATCTTTAAAGCTGTTTTTATTACATTCATTTAACTTTGCAGCTATTCCAAGTTGTTTTTATGGTCATTGATTCATTGTTTCAACATGAAAAATGTTTCTACTGCTATCAATTTGTTATATCTCTTATGTATCAGGAATGCCTATTTTATTTTCCTTATTGAGGAAGAATAGTATAATTCACCTAGAACCTTAACTATGGATAAATAATATTCATGCAATTTAAATTGGTTTTTCTCCTACTGTTTTATTTGTTTGCTTTCAAAGTACGTTTTAATTTGGAAATGCTTTTAAGAGTTCACATAAAAGTGATTGCATCCGATTGAAATTTTACACTCATCTACCCTCAGTCCTCTCCCTAATACCTCTGAGCTTCATGTTTGAACAGAATTTGAATACTTGGTAGTTCTTTCACTTTTTACTACCACTGTGCTGCTCTTCATAGAATTAACAACATATTGAACACCAGCATAGTCCGTCAGTATCCACGGGTGATTGATTCCAGGACACCTTGAGTATATAAAAACTAGATTCTCAAGTCCCTTATGTAAAATGGCACAGTATTTCCAATAACCTGTGTCCTCCCATATACCTGAAGGCGTCTCTAGATTACTTACTGTTCTGAATACAATGAGCTGTGTAACTAGTTATTATACTAGATGATTTAGGGGATAATGATGAGGAAAAAGACTAGGCATGTTCACTACAGACACAAACTTTTCCACAATACTTTCAATCCACAGTTAGTTGGACTCTCTGCTGCAGAACCATAAAGGGCTGGCTGTTAAGTAATTCCAACTTGAAAGATGAATTTGAGAATTAGGATATGTTACCAGCAAAGTATTCCTCCCATTTTATCTAGATGTGCTATATAATATTGAAAATTCTTGTTATGCTAAATTTTTATCAATGTAAATAAAATATAAAACTGTAAATAACGTTTTCCCAACAGATGGTGGCGCTAATAATTTTGGGCTCAATTTCTTGACCTTCATCATCCTTTTCAACAATCTCATTCCTATCAGCTTGTTGGTTACATTAGAAGTGGTGAAATTTACCCAGGCATACTTCATAAATTGGGTAAATATGAGTTGTTATTGCTTATATCTTCCTAATACACCTTTTGTCTTTTTTTTTAATATAGGGTCTTTTGCTGTCTGAAAAAAGTCTTAACCATACATACCTTTTTTGAATCTTTAATTTTAACAATATCCCTCTTCTCAGAATCATGCAAATTTACAAAACCAGACATTCTGAGGAAAATGGGTCTCTAGTTCAGAAATCCTATGTTGGATACACAATGATTGTGGGAGAAGGAGACCCGGAGTTTGGAATTGAAGTATCTGGGTTATAGTTCTAGTGTTACAATTTACTACCTGTATGAATTTTGCCTACTCATTTGACTTTGAAACTTAGTTTTTGGAGACTGGCATAGGGATGATAAAACATGTTTGACTTACAATTCACAGCAGTTGTATAGGTCAAGGAATCTCTTGACATAGCAAAGAGCTTTATATTCAGTCAGACATTATATATATAATAATATGTTTGCTACTGGTAACAAGATTGTCTCTCATATTTATTCATTTTGTGATTTATTTTCTACACTGTGAACAGTTTCAGATGTGCATGGATTTTTCTTAATTATTTTCTTAAAATTTTTAATATTGTAAAATGTATTGGATATCTGTTTCCTAAAAATATTGAGAAGATATTTATTGTTCTTTCAGTTTTATCTTTATCAAAGTCAAAGTTAATGAATTTATAACCAGGTGCCAGTGGCTTATGTCTATAATCCTAGTTATTTGGGAGACTGAGATGCAGAGGATTGCCATTCAAGGCCAGCCTAGGCAAGAAGTACCTCACACCCCATTTCAACCAGTATCTGGGAACAGTGGTACAGCCAGTCATCCCTGCTGTGGTAGGAAGCCTGAAATAAGAGGATTACAGTTAAGGCAACCCTGGGCGAAAAGCAAGACCCTATCTCAAAAATTACTAGAGAAAAAAAGACTGCAGACATGATATTCAAGCATTAGAGCACCTTCCTAAGAAAGCATGAAGCCCTGAACTCAAACCCCAGAACCACCACCACCAAAAAAAATTAATTTATGTAAATTGAATAAATCACTGAGCCTAGTCTTCCAGAAAGTTTAATTTCTCTTTCATGTTGAGAAATGTGGGTAGTGTTTTTATTTTTTCTTCTTAAATCATTTTAAAGTCTTTTGATGTGAACAATATTAGGATTTAAAAAAAAAACAGTGTTACTTTTGCAACTGCTCATAACCTTCTTGTGATAAATGATCCCCTTGTCAGTCTCCTATTCTTTGGTAAAAGATCAGTGTTATGTAAATATCAAAAATAAGCTGTAAGCATAGCTTTCTTCATAGAGGGAATGTGTTGCTGAATAATTGTGTAATGTGTACAAAGGCGATTAAAGCTTAGTAAAGAGTTCTCATTCACAAAAATAATAAGGTAACTCACTCTAAAGATCAAATAACGAATCAGAAAATTCATTGTTTTATTTGGGTTTTCAAAAGTCATTTTTGCTTCAAATACTTATATAATTTTAGTGTTGAATGAAGCCAGCAACCTTATGCTTTTCAACTGCCTTTCTAATATGCAGAGATTTTTGCAACACCCCTGACAGATGAAAGAATGGCTTTCCAGACAGCTTACAAGGCCAGCTTCTGCCTTGTTGGAAATAAGATTAGTGACTTTTTTTCCTTCGATTCTGGTTCTCCCCAATGGATCTATTGTGAAAATATTTAATCTTGTTTCTGAATGAGAGCCTTGTAAAATATTTGAACTCCACTATTGTACCTGTTCTATCATATTTTTTCTCCCTAACTAAACATCCCCCATTTCCTCTGATTGATCTTTATTTCATATGGTTTCCAAGTTAGTCTCCATTCTTATCACTTTTCATTAAACATGGCCTGGTTGGTTAAGGTCTCTTAAAAACTGACACATAAAACTCAACAGCCTATTCCAGAAGTGATATTGATCAGTTCAGAATGCAAACATGAGACAGATCATTTTTGATTTAGACTTTGACCTTTACATGTGACCTATGAAAATCAAACCACAACCATAACTTGTCGATAAAATATACTACCACATAAAATAATAATTTTGTTGAATAATGTAGTCAACTCTTAAGATACTGGGTCCAAGACAACTATAAATAAGTACAAAACTATACATTCTTTATTTGGCTTGTGAGAGGTATATTTGTTTTGCTTTCAAGTATATTTACTGTAAGAAATTTGGCCCAGAAACTACAACCAGATGGAACCTCTCGGATAAGTTTTCCAGTGGTTTGAAGACCTAATTATTTAAGTAACATTTAGCTGCTCTTTTCTAGCCCACATGACTGAGCACTTACTTTGCGTCACATACTCTTTGGAGGACCTTAAATATGCAATCTTACTTAATCCTTAGGTCACCTTAATGGAAAATAATAAAATGATAGTAAACCTAGATTATCTAATTCCAGAGACAGACTCTAACTACCATGCTGTTCTGCCCTAACTGAAATATGATATTATGTATGCAATAATTTTCAAGGAAATAAAATTAAATGATATGGACATAACAAGAAACTAGTCAGACAGTGACATTAAAGATTGAAGACACTGCTTTCTTTTAACATTTCACCCAGTCCCTTATTACCAGTTGTATTGAATGATTTACTTGTGTGTTTAAAGGATCTTGACATGCACTACGAGCCCACGGATACTGCAGCTATGGCTCGAACATCTAATCTGAATGAGGAACTTGGCCAGGTAAACTCCTATTAATAGATGTTGAATCAGAATTCAGATTTGGTACAATTTCTGACTTCGGTGGCAATTTCAGATGAAGTAACAATTCATAATTTTCCATTATTTGAATAATGGCATAAATACATTTTTTAGTGCATGACTAACATTTTCATTTTTAGTAAGTGGAGTTTTCAAATGCTATTTAAAGTAGACTTTGCTTTCAAGCCAAGGTAGGTTTCTTACTTAGTGTGTGTTCTGATTAGTATATGGAAATATTGGCTGTTTTCGAATCACACATAAGTAATTAGAATTGTTCATAGTTTTCAACTTGGAAGGTAGGAAAAGTTCAAGATGTATGGTCTAGTCAAATAGGAATTTTAGATTTATAATTCATAACTATATTTATACACAGTCACATGTCACGTAACACAGGGACACATTCTAAGACATGCATTGTTAGGTGATTTCATCGTTGTGCAGACACCATAGAATGTACTTACACTACGGCTATGACATCAGTAGGCAATATAATCTTGTGGGACCACCATCATATGTTAAAACATCCCTCCGGGCACATCACTATACGTGTGTATCTGTAATCCACTTATGTACTCTAGTTGAGAACAGATTTTTGTTTTCTTGTGCCATTGTCATTTTCCAATTCTTATTATTCACATAGCATTTAGGAGAAAATTATACTTTCTCACCAACTCAGAGGTTGTGTGAAGTTAATTGCACAAGCTATTCCCTATTATACAGTTGATTATTATATTGAAAAATACAAATAGATATCCTAATACTCTGTAAATGTTTGGAATCGTAGTGATGCTTCCTAGGGGAAATTCAGACCACACTAAGGCATATTTCCCTATGACTATAGTTTTTCTAATACCTTGGTAGGCTTTAATACAAATACATGAAATAATTTATCACTAAAATACTAAAGAAAATGAACGTGTTCCTTAATGAGTGTATAGAAAGTAGTTAATAGAATTCATTGGACCCCAATGGTGGAACAAAGTTGACTGAAAAATAGTATAATTTAAGGGTGTTTTCCCTCTATAAAAATTTCTGAAATATTAATGAGAAATTTAATTTTTTTTAGGTTAAATACATATTTTCTGACAAAACTGGTACTCTGACATGCAATGTAATGCAGTTTAAGAAGTGCACCATAGCAGGAGTTGCTTATGGGTGAGTTTTTCCCCCTCTAATGAGAATATGAAATATACATTTAATTAATGCTAATAGTTTGGTACTTTGGGGATTCATATTAGAGAATGGTTTGGTTTTTGCCTTTGTGTTTTCATCTAGAAAGCAGCTGTTTTAACTTCAGGACATATGCATATTTTGTATTTTACAGTTTGGTATTGTTTTTATGGGGAAATGACATTAGGTGGGGGCTCTTCCCAGTAGGTTTTTAGTGTTTAGGGTTGTGAAATGTCTCTGTCTGGCCCCAGTAAAAAGAAACACATACATTTTCCTTTGCGCTGAAGTCAGAGTATAGTTTAGATGTGGGAAGAAATAGTGTCATTTCTCTGATGATTACTCTTTTGATGATTTGGTTTTTTTCCTTTATTATTTTCCTCTTTGCAGTCACAGCAATCTAAAATTCTAATGATGGGAAGGAGGTAGGGCTGTCAGACTCTTAAATCAAGAGGATAATGAGTATTAGCAAAAACCTTTTGTCAGGCTGTTAACATCCTTTGGAATGTGCTTGTTGGGTGCCCATTTATTTCTTATTTCTAGCTCTGTTTGCCTAAACCATCTAAAAATCTCCTTGAAACACTTTGTAAAGCAACACGGGAAGATTGAATTCTGCATTTCCTAAAAAACATATGATCAAAAGATGAGATAGCCTTTTGGTTGATTGGCATTGCCCTGTCATCAGATTTTGCAGTTAACCTTATCCTTGGTAAAGCTAGTACATACTAACCTCAGAATAATACAAACATGGGCTTTTGAGTTTTGTGGTTTCTTGTTCCCACTCTTCTCATTCACAGTTTAGCTCCAAGCAATAAGCCAGTATAGTGTTGAGTTTTGAAAATTTTTTGAAACAAATTTTGAATTTTTTAAAAAATTAAAAATATGTTACCATTTCATGAAAGTTCTAAAATATATGGTTATCCCTAGGTATAGTGTCTATAAAGAGAAGTGGATAGAGACAGGTATACTTGCACTTTGAGTGCAGGAGAGAATGACTAAAAATGACTTCAAACTTTTAAACAAGGTTAAAAAGGCAGTTGATTGGATGGTTTTTTTACACTGTAATGACAGACTGTTGATTTAAAAAGCATCTGTTTTCACATTTTTTCTTCTTTATTTGAAGACCTTCTAATTCTCTTAAACAAAAGCAGCTCCCCTTCCCTCTCTCCTCAGTTGTTCCTGGAGCAACCACACTTTTTGACATCTCATTCTACATATTCTACCTGTAGTTATCCCAGAGAACAGAGAGGAGGGCCTGTTGTGAGTCTAGAGTTTGTCAAACTATACATTTGCTGTCAGATTTAGGTGGTGATTGCTTTTACACAAATGCTGTGTTCATTCATAAGTATTATTTCTACAGTAACCTGTTTAACAATTGACATCCTTGTTTTTCTTGTCCAGTTTCAACTGAATGAGCAAGTTCCTCAAGTTAGTAATTATTTATTATGTAATATCAGAACAGAAAGCTAAAATGAGATCTAGCCTCTCCTTTTTTCTGCATTTTACCAGGTTTTTTTCTTATTCTTGGAACAGGTTCTTACTCACTCCCAGGTGATAGTTCTAGAGAGCAGTGTTCCTCTGTGTCTGTTGGTGATGTCATCATTAACCCTGATGGGACAGTTGGGTTTAAGCAAAATACTGTCATTATGTAGATGAAGTTGCCAGTGAAACAAGTTTCCTATTGGGAAAATAGCATTTCCAATAATGAGGTGCATGAGTTCTAATATTCTGGGTTCATCACAGAACCCTGAACTATTCCCTTTCGGATATTTCTGACTCTTTAAAATTTGATAAGGAGGGAGACGAGTCACTCAGATTGTTTTCCAGATAGGAAGTTCTAACACATTTACAAGTAAAAAACAGTTCTTTTGTTTACAAAGTTTAACTGTATAAACAGAAGTGTTTCCTCTTTGGATGTTATATCATGAAGCCAGATTGAGTGAAGCTAGTTGCAAAGCCACTTCCAGTCATCATGTATTATTTGCATTTGCTTCAGGTGCCCTTAACCCTGATCTAGTCTTTAATGTCAGCACATCCTGGTGAACAGTTGGACTGTCAGCAGTGTAGAGAATTGTTGACATGAAGACTTTGGAGAAACTATACGACCATATCCTTATGTCAGGGAACATAGCCTGGTACCTAAATCTAGGCAATCTCCACGATTGTGTGGGGGGTGGATAATTACTATCAACCATCTTCCTGCAGGGGTTTCCTCTAGGCACTCTTGGGTTATAGGAATCTTACCAGGTTTCCATTTGCCCTTTAATAGTGCTTAATAGGTGTTTAATACTGGAACTATCTTGTATATGCACTTCTAGCCCCAACAGTAGAAAACAAGGTATTTATTCCTCTAGGAGAAGGCAAACCCTGACAGAATAACACAAAAAGTATCCTTTCAGCAGATCACTTCCTGTGGGAATACCTGTTTTATCATGGATGCGTGAAGCCCAGCAATAGATAATAAATTTTATGTTCAGTGGCTCTCAATGCTGCAAACATTCTAGGGCTTTTCCCTAAACACAATATTTGTCAACAATTTAGCTCTGATGCTTAAAAAAATAAACAAACTAAACAGTGTTATGGTTTTTTGTTTTCTTTTTGGTAAGCTGGGCATTAGTATTAAAAACAAATCATTTACATTTTCCCTTTCAAGAATATAGCATATGAATAGTTTTATGTGACAATATTAAAAATGGTTTTACTAGATGGGTCGGCTCGTTCTCTAACCCTGAGAACATATTCACTGGAAGAAACTTCATAATTATTATAATACTTATCCCCCAGGTCTAGATTATAATCAACACATTTATTTTACTGTTCCTCATGGCTCGCAGTATATGCTAATAAACAACATATGTATGTACTTATATACCTCCACAAATGTTGATCAGTCTCCTTCTAACCAAAGTTCACATGGTTCCCGTTCTCCTAAAGTTTATAGTGAATTGAGAGTTAAGGGATGTTAATTTAGTAATCACACTGACAAATACAAAATCTTAACACAGTACAAGGGTCCATGTGAGTCTCTGATGGGAAGCTGGTCTCTTAGGGAGGTCAGGCAGTGCTTGCTGAATACTTGAGCTGAAATGTAAGAATGAGTTTGATTAAGTGAAGAACTTACCAGGCAGATATGACAACGATGACATGACAAGGGCAAATAACCAGGTAAGCTCATAGATGCCAGAGCTGCTGAGCAGTGATCACAGGAAACTCACACAGACAGGATCAGTTGTTCCCATCACCTGCTGCTCATCACCCTCTGGATCTCACTTAGCCTTCTGCTAGGGCTGTTCCAGGCTCCAGCAGAGGCACTTTGACCCTTGAGCTCTGGGTTTTTAAGCTTCATGGCTTAGGAAGCACCAGCCCATCTCCTTGTATGAGATCAAGAACTGCTGCACGATGCAAGTGCAATTTCACAGAACCTTGGCACAGTGTTTGTTTCTTGGGTAGTTACCAACCCTCCCCTAGCACCATCCAGGGGCCCAAACCTTGAGGTTGATCAGAAGTGATTGCCTTCAACACTGTTGCAGCCAGTTTCCACAGGAGTTGCTCCAGGCCAACTTCTTTTCTGGGAGTCCAGGCTACAGTGAGCTTGGCTATCCTTCCTTGTCAAGCCCATTGGCAGGAGAGAGAATAGTAAGTTAAAGAGACTGCTTCCTTTCTGGAGTGGAGATGGCCCTGGAGCCAATTTCATGCTTTGGAACTAGAAGAGTTGCCCTGGATGATGAGGTCCATGTTGCGGCCTGGGCGATGAAAGGGTAAAAAGACTGGGGTGGACATTTAGGGAATCAAAGTATTCTATGACTTTTAGCAAAGTTTATTATATATTTATCAAAAACAACAACTTCCCATTTGTACTGAACTCTGCATCTTTAAATTCTCCTGATATCTAATGAGTTTAAAGGAAAAATCATGAATGATCATATAATGAAAGGTAGGGGAAATAAAATAATCTGCTCTAATGAGACTGACTGAATACATGACTGGCTTATTGAGATGACATTCATCACTCAGACGTCTAATGTTCAAATGAGCTAATGGAGGGCTGGAGGTGTGGCTCAAGTGATAGAGCGCCTGCTTGACAAGTGTGAGGCCTGAGTTTAAACCCCAGTCCCAGCAAAAAAAAAAAAAAGAAAGAAATTGGCTTCAAATGAGCTAATGGATAAAATAAAAGTATTGATGACACAATTTTTGTTTGAGATCAAGAATGGCTTAATGACTAAATTGTAGTTAAAGTGAAATTTTTTAATATTAGTTAATTTTTTAAAAATATTCCATTTAATCATAGAAATGCAATTAACTTTTGCTTTGGTGTACCTTTTTAAGGAATCATTACAGTAGCCAAAGTTCCTTCTAAACATATATTTGGCAAATTTAATAGTGTGATTGTTTGCTTCTAAGTATTAGCATGTTTGTTTTATTTCTTTTTCTCTTTATATAACTTTTTTCTCTTTTTATAACTTTTTCTCTGGTTATAAAATACACATATGATTAATTTTTACATTGGCTTTCACATGCATTTAAACGACTAAGTTTAAATATTTCTAACTGAACCTTGAATTCTGTGCATAAAAGCAATGAATTTTGTGATGAAGAGGCAAATTGGCCATCCAGTTACAGGGTAGATACCTTTGAAAACCTGCTCAGTTACCATAATTCCTCATGTTCTACTTACTGTACTAACTGCCATGCTTTCAAGATTCAACTAAAAGCTCATTTATTAACTTTTCAGAACTCCACCCTTCAGTACTTCCCTTCTTCATGGTTTTATGTTTCCAGCCTTTCTGTGATTATTTTTCCCTCTCTCTGTCCCTCCTCTCGAAGCCATGTCCCCGAGCCTGAGGATTATGGGTGCTCTCCTGATGAATGGTAAGCTGTGTGGACCTTTCTGTCTCATTGAGATCTTTAAAAGGTTTGTGACTTATTGTTTTGATAGGCAAGTTGGATGACAGTGCTATAAAGTAGGTATTTATTGAAATCTGTAGAGTATCCTTGATTTTCTGTTGAATAACTTTTATGAACATTTAATAAACACTTACTTGGGCTTGCTATAATTTTGTATCATTTATCTATAATAAAGTCCATAATGTTCACTTCCAGAGTCCCTGTGAACTGCCTAAGATTTCAGCTATAGCTCCTGAAGCTTCCTTGTGGTTTTTTTTTTTAGCTCAGCACTGCCCCCTTCTGCCACTGTGCATGCACTCTGCAGAGCTGCAAAACACTGATGAAACAACCCACGCCATGGATATTTCCTTTTGTATTTTTCATTACTTAATAAATCTATTCGAGGAACAGAGAATGAATATTTTTGATGAAATAGCTGGCACAAATCTACTAAGACTATGCTACACATTACTAGAGTAAATGATATGTAACTAATTTTAGATTTATTAAAGACAAGTCTTCATCAATTCAGTTTCTGACTTCAGTGTCTTTTCGTTTGTTTTTCTTTAAAGTTTCCTCTTCCGTGTATTTATATTTTTATCTAAGGTAGTATAAGTTCGTTATTTCTATAATTCATCATGATTTGGTGCTAAATAAAATTTGAGAAAAAAGATTCCTTTAATGCTGGTGATTTTAAAAAACAGCAAGGCTTTATAGATGGTTATGGTATTTTCTTCAGAGTATACCTATATTTTATGATTACCCCATATTTCCAACATGTGGGGAAGTCCAATATTATGTACTATTTTTCAACCTGAACTTTATTTCATTTTCAGTAAACTCATAAAACCTAGAGTTACTGACAGAGGCAGCTAGATTGGTTCATGTGATGGCTGATGATATATACCTGTCATTGCCTAGGCGTCACGAATGTTTTGACTCCTGTATAGAGTTAAATAATGAATAATGTTTCCTATTTTTAAATGTGCCAAAGCATCTTTGTGGATGATTCAAGTTTACTGTTGCATATATTCCTCTTTATTTAATCTTTGAATGGTGTAGTTAAACTTTTGACTCCAGATGCTCCTTTACTTATGGTGGGGTGAGAACCCAACAAGCCCACCATAAAATAGAAAAATTACAAGCTGAATTCATTATTGCTTTTCTGTAATTATATAATTCTATTAAATTGAAACAGTGCTCATTAGTGTAGAATTTATGCAAGTATTCTGTAAGGATGATGCAGTTTTTCCTAACAGACTTAAGATTAGTTAGGAATGTTAAAAATTCATTTTTATTTACTCAAATCATTTCAAATATCCTACATGATGTTTCATGTCCTTAATCACTGTTAGAATGTTATTTTATCTAGCTTAGTAACTTTTCATTTTGGAAAATTTGATATTCTAAACTAGGGTAACGCCAAATAAAATATGGCAGGTTTTTCATAAATTGTATGTTTCCACTTGCCATTACATATAAACTTAGACATTATTAAAAATAAACACTAGGGAAAGTTTTTGCCATCTTTATAGTAAAGGGAGCTTCACTTTTATATGCTTGGATTCTCTATCTATAAAATAATTACCTGCAGGCCTGCAAAGATGAAAAAAACAAGTATTTCTTGAGCCTCTACTATGTTCTGGGTCATGGAGTGGTCATGGATGCGGACTTTGGAGTCTTAAGTCCCTTCAGTGAGTTAATTAACTCTCTGCCTGAGTGTCCTCATCTGGAAGAATATGGATAATAGTACTTATTTCACTGGGAAATTTTGAAGATTCAATGAGTGCTGTTTTTAAAATGCTCAGAATAGTGCTTGGACATAGTAAGCCCACACTGAGTGCTAGCCCTGGTGACTCTAACTCTTCATACCATATTTGTCATTGATCATTTTAAAGCTGATAAAAGTTAGGCACAGAAGTTGGCAAGTAATTTGCTCCAAGAGTACAACCAGCAAACATAGGAGCCACAGCTAGACTTGGCTTAGCTTAGTTATAAAGTATGTGCTGGTACATTGTGTCCTATGGACTTTAAAGAATTTCTGTTTTTAGAGCACAAGGTAGCTTTTCAACTTCAAAGTCATTTTATTTTTTCTCAATTTCATTTAATATTTTTCAGCCTCAAATGCATTTCAGTGAATTTCTTGTGTTACTAAGCAAGAGCAAGTAGAGAGGCAAAATTTGGCTGACTTGATGAAAGTTAGTAAATTGACACACAACTTCATACATTCATAAATCTGCATTTACCCAGTCTCATCCAGTTGTTTTCATTTTCCCAAGGAAACCAAGGTCAAATGTGATCCTGGTTGAATCCTGTGCTCCAGGTATCTAACTGTGTCTTCATGCTGCAGATCCTAAGGAATAGAGTGTAGATGACTCTATAAATCAAAACACTGTGAACTCCAAAGTGAACTCCAAGCCAACTGTTCAGTGTCTTCACCTTTCAGCGTGAAGTTCCCCGGACTGCATATATAAAACCTGTGAGCCATATATATTTTACTGTTACTACAAAAAGTGTCAACAAACACATATTTACATACTTAACTGTAAATTACATTTGTATTTAATTGAGTTTGAAGGCATACTGTAATATATTAACCCTTTCAAACACACTCTTTGACATTAAAGATAATTAGATGATGGCTGTAGCTCTACTCTCTTAAATATAGTAATAAAATAGTTCACAGAGATAAAATTATTTCCCAGCTAGTAGTTACATACTCCGAAATTGATACAGTTTTCTTATTATTGCCAAGAACCATCAGCTAGCAAATAACCTAACAGATGAATTCCTATAAAAGCCTACCATTCTCTAAATTGATAGTATCAATATTTGGAGAGTTAGGGAAAACACTTCTTTACTTTCAGCATTTATGTAGCCAAAAGATATGCTTGTTTTCCAAAGCTATTTCCATAACCATTTTTCTCTTTTTCTAACTTTTATTGTGGAAAATTTTAACCATGAACAAAAGCAGAAAATACTTACCATTTTTTTTCAATAGCATGCACCCAAGGTCAACTTTAATCCACCAGAGTCTTTCCCCCACTATTAATTTATTTTTTCTTAACTATTTTATATATATATATATATATATATATATATATATATATATATATACACAGTTCCTCATTATTCCTTCTGATACTTTTTAAGTGGCAGGAGGGTGACTCTTCCTAGGGTCCCCTTCAAGGGCTCTGTGCTTAGTGATTTCCCTGTGTTTTTTAGTATTATCACAGTATCAGCAGATAGTACTATTTTCTGTATTCTAATCACTTATTTTCTCATTTCATTCTGGCCTGTAATTATGTATGAGGTGAGTGGTGTTTATTCTGATGCAAAAGCAAGGCTCACTAAAACATTCTTCCAGGTGTGACCATATAATAATGAGATTTAACACATCTAAATTAGTGTTAGTCTTCAAAGTCATTCCCATGGCAGGTAATTTATTTTTTCCAGTGATGCAGCCATTCACAGAATGTTTTTGGAACTCCTCTTTTATAATTGCCTTCAGAAATACTTTGAGTCACACAGAAAACTAGGTCTCATTACTTTGGTCAAAACCAGTGTCTAGCAAAAATAATATTGAATTTAATCACCTATTCATATTCTTGGACTTGACTCTGAATAACAAACACATTGCTGAAAATTAAATCTCCCAGCAAGCAATTTTTATTTGCAGCCAACAGTGCCATTGAAAAATGAGAGGTGCAGACCCTTTCAAACCCCAGTGCTCTATGGGCTCAGTCCCCAGGGCCAGAGACCCCCACAGCAGCAGTCGGGTCCCCCAGGTTAGAGAGAGAGATAAGGCCTCTGGGTCATAGAGGAAGCTGACTGGAAACAGGCTGTACTCCATCACGTTGGAGAACTTTTTCTCATTCTTGAAGCCACTCACCTCCTGCTGACAGTGAGCGCTACTTCATGTCATCAATCTGTCTCAATGCCGCAGAGGAAACCAGCCCCTGAGTGGTGGGCTGTGGAGGGCTGTGCACTCATCCAGGTAGCCGCATTCCTGCTCTGCTGTGGCAGGTGACCATGACCACCTTGAAGGTGCTGTTCCAGCAGTTCTTTTATACCAGGTCCATTGTGAAGCGTCCTGTGGGCATGTGCCAGTGGCTTGTGTTCACCTGACCTACAAAATAGAAAACTCCAAAACAGATAGGGGATGTCATTAGTGTGTTTCATTGCTGTCATCTGAGAAGAAGAAAAAAACTTGTGCCTTTAGTCTAGGATCAAGACTATATTGATTTCAAAAATGAATTATGCAGGTAGAAAGATGAGTGTTCACAGCTAGGTTTCTGTGTCCCTCTGATAATCAGCACAAGGTAATCATTATGTACCTTCAGGTGTTAAGAGTGCGAACATAACCAACACCTGGTCCAGTCCTCAAGGAATAACATGAATGGCAGTTTTTGTTCATGAAGATGTTTTTGTATGGTTCAGCCTGAAAGCATTACCTAGGCCTGCAATAATCTCACTGAGGCTGGCGATCTCTACCCAGTAATCCTTATTGGTTTCTTTTTGTTTGGAACAACTAAAGGAAGAATTCCAGAAGTCTGCTTTAGAAACCTGCCACTTGGTATCCAGAAGATTAGCCTGACACATCTGGGAAGGGCAATGAATAGGAAAAAGTATGTTCAATGAAGAAAGCCAAGACTGACAGCCTAGTGAATGGTTTACCAAAAGTGGGAACAAGACAGGGGCAGCAGGGAACAGAGTTCTTGAGGTTCCCATTGAGATCTGCTGCTTAGAAAGAGTGACAGAGCTTGAGGGTCCAAGTCACAGACTTGCCTGTAGCATTCCCTGTGACAAATTCCCTGCATTTAAGAACTAAGGAACCTATACACTGCTGATGGGAATGCAAACTAGTACAACCACTCTGGAAAAAAATTTGGAGACTTCTTAAAAATCTAAACATAGATCTGCCATATGATCCAGCAATACCACTCCTGGGGATAACCCAAAAGAATGTGACACAGGTTACCACA